AGAAAAAAAAGTGTAGCTCGCTGCTCAAGCTTTCAGAATGCGGGTAAATTACTAAAATTGTTTTGAAATAGCGTTCCTGAGTGATCGAGAAATAAGCGCGTACTATTCAAGATTGAGGAGGAGCACGTTGCAAAACCTCGCCGAGCATCAGTAAGTTGCTTATAATCCGATGAATGACCGAAACTTCGTTATAAAACTTGTCCGTCTCATTAAGTTACGAACATTCGAAAACTGTGCGAAATCAGACCAATGTACCCTTTCAGATTTTTTCGATGTACCCTTTGAGTATTTCGTCGATGTACCCTATGAGAGTTGCTTAAATGTACCCTATCAGACTCCTCCACAGATGTACCCTATCAGTCAATGTACCCTCTGAGTCAATGTACCCTATAAGAGTGATGTACCCTTTTTCGATGTACCCTCGGAGTATGGGCCCTTCATTCCAGATTCTGCATCTGTGTGTCTGTTGGACCTCAAAATGACAGAATCTCGAAAAGGAGTTGCTCTTAGAGAGCTCTACTGGAAAACTCTGGTTTTGGGGACCCATTATCCAGCGGAATTCAATGGAGGACGATTTCGAACTCCGCCTGGGTATGTTTCTTTTATATTGATTGATTGTTGAAGTCTTTCTGATATTAGAGCTTTAAAAAAAAATACTAAAATTATTTTTTATGTAGGCACCAGCAAGCTGGTGCGCCTTCAGCGCGATTCAATCTAGTTTTTTACTGGTTCGTAGCTTCGCTCTTCCCTTTTGCTAAATGGGTCACGTAAATCTATATTTATTTTTCAAGTTTTTCAAAAGTTGACAGACAGACATTATGACCGACAGACGCCTCTAGCGTTTTATATATAAGGAAGATATCATAAAGGAATATTTAAACCTTCAAAAAATTGCTAGACGGTTCTAGAACCTTTATATTGAATTCCCGGAAAAACTGAACATTCTAGGCTACCTCTAGAAAAATGCTGGGATTTTCAAAAACAGTTATATTGAAGTAATTCAATATTGAAGAAAAATTTTCAATGTTTTTCAAGTTATCAAATAATTTTTGTAGAATAAAAATTTTTGAATATTTTTCAGCGACTCATTCCCAATGGACATCGTTATTGGTCTAGACAAGATTGCGAATGTCTATAAGGTCGTCATCGATGCTGATGAATATTTGACACGTATGATTTTTTATAGATTTTCTTTCGGATTTATATTTCAGTTTTCTTGAGTTTTGGTCATGGTCAGAAGAAACTGAAAATCAGAAAAAAAAACTCACGATTTTGAAATTGAGGTTTACTATTTCCAAATATGATATAAAATTAGGAACTCCAACAAGTTTTTTCTTGAAATTTTTAATCAATTTCTTTCTAATTTTTTGTTAATTTTCATAAAGCTTGAAGCATAATTTTATCAGTCTAAGCTCATTTTTTAAAAATTTTTCTATTAATTTCCAGCATCCAAAGTAACCATTCGTGTTGGACAAGGAAAATTGAATGAGGAGGTGAACTATAAAAATGCGCGAACTTCGAAATTTCAAAAACCAGTGATTTTGGAATTTCATCGAAGAGAACGATCTGTGAGTCGTCTGGAGAGCAAGTGAGTGGGGGGAGTTGAGAACTGGAATATTTGGGAATTCAGAATTAGAAAAATCAGGACATTTTGAAAATTCTAAAAGTTCAAGAAGTTGAGCCTCGAATCTCAGAATCTTAGGATCTCAAAATCTCAAAATCTCGTGATCCTAAATATTCCAGAAACGCATTCACTGACGCCGTCGGCCAATACATCTGGATAACCATCGAAAAACCAATTCCATTATCACAAAATCCTCATAATCAAATTGAAATCAAAAAATTGACTGTTTTGGGATATCCACTTCCAGAAGAGCTTCCGAGAGGGACGCCGGTTCCAGAATCTCCGAAATTGGAACAAAATGATGAGGACGTGGCGAACTTGAAAATGGAAAATTTGGAATTAGAATCGAAAGGAGTGCCAAAGAAGGAGAAGAAAATTGAAAGACATAGCTAGTGAGTTTTGGAAATTTTTCAAGGAAATTCTGAAATTTTCAAAAAAGGTCATGACCTACTTTTTTTAGGTCGTGACCTACTTTTTCTAGGTCATGACCTAGATTTTTGGGTCATGACCTAGATTTTTTTAAGTCATGACCTAGATTTTTTTCCTAGATTTTTAGGTCATGACCAAATTTTTTTAGGTCATGGCCTAGACTTTTTAGGTCATGACCGAATTTTTTCAGGTCATGACCGAGATTTTTTAGGTCATGACCTAGATTTGTTAATGTCATGACCTAGATTTTTGGGTCATGACCTAGATTTTTTTAAGTCATGACCTAGATTTTTTTCCTAGATTTTTTAGGTCATGACCAAATTTTTTTAGGTCATGACCTAGATTTTTTAGGTCATGACCAAATTTTTTTAGGTCATGACCTAGATTTTTTAGGTCATGACTAGGCACCACAACGATTTTTTCAAACTCATTTTTCCTGAGAATTGTTTATATTATCGTATTCACCATATCAATATTAGTATAATTCCGAATTTTTTTTCGAAAATGTTCATCCGTTCTCGAGATACACCCTTTGTTGTAACCCCCTTTTTCATCCATTTTCTCTGAGGGGGTTGCAGTGGGCACGGAAAAGTGGGCGGGGCAAGGTGGGCGGGGCGACGCCTTTTGCAAACGTGCGGCGCAGAAAATTCCCGATTTATTGCTGTGATGTTTTTCATAGCGCTGTGAAGAGTTTCAATTGGTTTTCGTCAGCCGGCATGTCGAAATATAGTAAAATGGAGATGTAAAAAAACAGAATGAGTTTGAGAAACAATTTTTATTACGACTATGATTAAATTTTACTGATTTTCAGGTAGAAAACACGGAAATTAGTGAAGTATCGAGCGATGCGAGCGATCAGAAGCAGAGAAGAACGATCGATGATGGCATTCGTGTTTTATAAATTGAAATTTTGTTTAAAAAATTATAGACTCTGGATTTTTGAGAAACAGATGATTTAAAAAATATGCGAATGCCATTGAAACTTCGATTGTTCGCATCGCTCGTCACTTTTCTACCTGAAAATCACCAGAAAACAAAGAACTACAAAACAAACTACTGAACTAACGAAGGAAAGGAATCAGAAACTAATAATAAAAAGAAGAAATCAAGAAAATTGGAATGTTCCGTCATCGATCGACTTCTGAAAATGATCGAAGTCGATATGTATCGGAAGTTCCTTGAGTTTCTGAGCTCGAGAAGGTGTCAAAATTTCTGGAAAATTTAATTGGAAATGAGTCCAAAATAGTATTCTTACCTGTTTTCGATACTTTAGGAGGTGGTTCAACGTCACTTCCGCTATCCATTATAGATTAGAGGTATAATTATATGTTCAAAAACAATTAATTTAAAAAAAAATCAATAATTTACTGTAAGTCGTAAGAACATTGGTTTTCAGTGCATACACCGTTACGTAAAGTTGCACAAAGTTTGGAAAACCACTGAAAAAAGACTTTTGATACAGCAAGGAATCGAACCATGGCCGGTGGCGCGCCGTCCCGAAACACTACCCACTACTCCATGCGCGCGCTGACAGTTGGCGTATTGAAAGGCTGATATGAAGCACGCGCTGCCTCTCTTTTCTAAACAACGATTTGAACACATTTTATTCACATTTTTAGGTGGAAATTGAGATATTAAAAAAATGGGGGAACAGGTAGAAGTAAACTCGAACATGTATATTGTAGCAAATTTTTCGTAGAATCTGAATATGTAATAAAAATCTGCGACATCGACCTGCATTACCGTCAAAATTCGCAAAAACGTCTAAATTTTAGAACCATGTCATCTTTGGATGCGTTTTTTGCTAGCTCAAACTTTTTCAAATGTCATCAAATTGCATATCTGAACAGTCATAGAATTGATCTAAGTGTTTTGATATTAAAAACATGGGGTCATCGCTGAAAAAAATTCACAATTTTTGCTTGAAGTTTGATGGATTACTGCAAAAATGGGGGAACTGCTGGCTAAATATGGCTTAATGCATCTTATTCACCATCTAAAAAAGTATTTAGAACAATAATAAAAAGAAGCGACATCGACTTTTATTACACTTTTCAGACCAAATTTCTCATGTCGATTTCTGTTTTTCACGAGTATTTTGAAAGTCGTTGGTTTTCAACGCAAACGCTTTACATCAGTCGATTCTACGTGTTTTTTTACATAACGAGACCAAATTTCATAAAAATCGGTCCATCCAGTCTCGAGTTCTACGCCTTCAAACATGCCAGATACCCCCCCCCCCAAGAGAAAAAAAATTAGGCTCCGCCCCCTCGCGTTGCGGTGCCTAGTCATGACCGAATTTTTCAGGTCATGACCTAGATTTGTTAATGTCATGACCTAGATTATTTTAGGCCATGGCCTAGATTTTTTTAGGTTAGGACCTAGATTTTTTTTAGGTCATGGCTCAATTTTTTCGGTCACGACTTAGATTTTTTCAAGTCATCACCCAATTTTTTTAGGTCGTGACCTAAATGTTTTTAGGTCACGTTTAAAAAAAGTGGAAATTTTGTAAAATTGACATATTTCGATTTTCGTTTTTTGTGTGTCTGTAGGTTC